AGGGTGGATGTCGATGGGATGAGGTGTGAGTGAGCCTAAATACCATTAAACTGATGCCACCGCCGCTTTAGACTATTCAGACGGCTATGACAATATATATGTTCTCAAAGATTCAAAAATCACCAACCAGGGTAAAAATTTTAAGGTTAATAAATAGAGTTAATATGAATGTTTGATAGTCGGTATTGAGATCGTCTTAGACAGATATGTGTAGCTTGAGTGTTTCTGTTTATTATAGTGTCGAGCTCGTTCAAATGTAGGTGTTGAAACAAAGACCTATTAAGTTATCCGTTTATACAGTCATTTTCATCAATACCAATACTAGGTGAGCTGTATCTCATAAATATCAGAGATAGAAGAAAGTGTTGTGAAAACACTTGAGTATTATTTGCCTGTTACAGATCACACCACTCAGGCACATCATAATAGGTAAAATAGGGAGTATATTGTGTTTCCAATACATGTTGATCATGTCAATTCATGTTAATGTGAAACATGGTCTTCAATGTGAGTGGTGGGACTACGTGGAAGGCGACGACAAATAAGAATCACTAGTGCTGTCAGACCAAACTTCAGTGAGTAGTTCATCTTCTTCCTCGAATTTTTTTTCTGTCATTCAGGATCAATTGTTTTACTATTATTATCGTGATAAATATCAAAATGATTATGGAGCCAAATAAGACCGATCGAATTTTCTGACAAATTAACCACTCAATGTTGTATAGCATTAACTGCTGATCGACTGAATGCGTGGATAAGGATGAGCAGTGCATTGTGATTGTGGCTTTGAAAGTAGTCAATAGAAGAATTGAATGGTTTCGAAAAGCTATGATTTCTTGTCCAGTCTGCCACTGATGGTGATAGTTTCACCATACACATATTATCTTGCAATGAATACGCTTTGAACTTTTGTTTAATGAGATTGTCGTTCAACTTTTGCTCACCTCATTCGATGCCCGACAACTTGCAGATTCCCTAGAAATCGACACAACGCATATTCGATAACTATTGAAGACAGCATTTAGAAATGATTAGTACTTCTCTATATTTTTGTACACTATTCCTCATCAGGTACCAGTACCAGCTGAGTCGATCACATTCCATATATTCAGCAACACTGGCGATTTTTCGTGACTTGAGTGTTTCATATCTTTTAACTAGAATGGGATAAAGGGCTTGAAAGTTCCACTGCGATTAGAACTAAAAGAGAATCTTTCCATCTAAACGTTCTGTTCTGTAAAGCTAGCTATTAGCCTAGGAAAGTCTTAGTAAAATCGGGTTTTTACAGAAACTCCGATTTTTCGTCAGAATGATCTCCTGAGCAGTTTGATTAGTTTTGAGAACGATTCTTGCCATGTAAGAATACTCCCTTTGGTACGTCTTCCAATAGAAAAACTAGCAGAGCGTCTCTATAAAGGGTTTAAAGATAGGACTATCGCTGGGAGGCAAAACGAGGCTAGACGATCCTTCACTTGCATTTGTCATAATTGTCGAAAATAAGAAGAGTAAATAAGCTATTTTTTGCGGATCATCACTCTTTGAGTGTATTTTTAGTTGGTTAGCGTTAAGGATGAATGTCGATTGTGTTTCGCGATTGAATTTGTGGAAACCCATTTCGAGGTTTTTTTTGTCCCATTGAACCTCTTGATTTTCGCAGAGATCTTCCAAAAACTATATTATACAAAACTATTTGAACACCATAGGATTTTGTAGAGACTAGTTTCTTAATTAATAATGTCACGCTAAGACTGCATCGAACTCGTTTCCTGTGTTACGAATGTAGATCACTGTGTACATTCAAAAATGAAATGTTCACTCCTGAAGCATTAAGAAAGTGCTCTATGTTAGAAAAACACATCCTAGGCCATCGATTTTTATTGAGCTCTACGCGAATCTCACTATCTAATTGAGAAAGAAAACCGAATTTGAAATGTAATCAGGAATTCGGAGGCAAGAAACGACCTATTTTGTTTTCATCCGATTGTCTGCGCACGATTTGACCCTAAAGGTAGTCGGAACACAGAGGTTCTTTTTGTGATAGATATGACTCTACAAGGTTTACCCATTGACATGAGAAGAAAGTGAGGAAAATTAATAGAATGATTTTAAAAGTTCGACATAGTACGCAAATTATCCTTTTCTCTTTATTGTTCTTACCCAAACTTAAAATGATACTAGGAAGATATTTATTCATTTTCAGGTAGTGAATCAATGTGATGCATGTGTGGAGGAAAATAACAAATCTGGTTTGTTCCCGTTATTTTTGACAGTAATCCAAAATGGTATTTGGATAGGTTATTCTATTATTCTGTGACAAAAAAATGAAGAAGGAAAAGTAAATCGAACATGCGAAATATTTTTTTCTTTTTGCTATGTTCTGCATTATCTTCATCAACATGATTGCCTTCAAACACTCATTGAAAAAAGTACTTCTCTCTATACCTTAGTTAACTTCCACGTGGCAACGACTTTATTCACTTCTTTTGTTCAGTTTTATTGCTTCGCATAGAAACGATGTCTATGGGTTGTCAAAAAAGGAAAAGTTCACCAAAGATGTATTCATGACACTATAAAAACTAGATGTAGCTTACGTCTAGGTCACCGTCTCTTGTCGTGCAGTACTTGTATTGATTTAAAGACTTTTACATGTATTGTCTTGTGTACTGATGATCAAAATATAGTTGTGGATGGTATCAAATTCGTCGACAGCTGCATCAGCTCGGTTCTGATATACAAGTATTCGATAGTGTAGTAAAATGTATTGAATATATACAACAAGAATATTTAGAAAAGCTCTATTTATTAGTGTTGAAGAACAACAAAATTATTTTGAGAAATATAAAGCAAAATATTATTGGTGCATGTCGAGGGATGCAACAGTTACGGTGGTTCACGGGTGCACCGTTCGCCGGTCTCATCGGTCAGGACGTACGAGGATTGAAGTTACTTGAATTGCACTGGTTCCAATCAAAAGGACTGACCATTTCATAATCGAGAAGTGCACATTGAGTTGGTACACATCTAGCTGTTGGAGTGTATGATCAATTTTTTGAAACTGCATAACCTGTTCGCATACAGTGACCACTTGACGATTACGGTACTGAGTGTGTGCATATGGCAGCCAACAAGAGTATTTTCATATAACTGATATCTGCTAGTGTAAAGGTATCTAAATCTGAAAGATGCTTATACAGATAACTTAGAAATACAGTCTCAACTAATACGATTAAGCCCAATAATGCCGGCTAGAACATTAGGAACCTTCGGTGACGGCCGGTTTCTAACATTATTCGGACGAATTAAGATTTACAGCAAACACTGGTGCTGATGCATTGACTATCACCGTAAGTTTTCATGTTTTCACCGATGTTGTCGTTAGCTTGATCGTTGCATTCGTACGTGAATGTATGTCACGTATACGACCACATTCTAGAATCAAGAATACGATTTCAACCCTAAGCGTTAAGGCCAATATGGCCGGTTAGAAGATTAAGAACCTACGGATATGACCAGTTTCGACCATTATTTAGACGTCCTAATGCTCAGATTAGTCAGTGGTTCTCTTACACCGGTCATCACCGTAGATTTTCATGGTTTCAACGGCTCTATTATTAGCCTGATCATTGCAATCGGGTATGAAAGAAATTATTTCATTTGCCCTACTATCATCTACTGAGGAATAAAGCTTCGACTATCACTTTTAAGGTCGATTCTGTCAGTTTGGAATCAGTAACCTACGGTGATGGCCAATTTCTACCATTATTTGAACGACTTAGGATTCAGTGCATTTGTTGCTGCCGATACATCGATCTCCACCATAAGTTTCTATACTCGCACTGGCTTGATTCTTCGTCATATTCTGAATCTCTGATGAACATTTGCAAAAATCACTTTATTTGTGCAAGAGATCACTCTTAATCGAAAAATTAAATGCGTAAGTTTCTGGAATGTATCTAGGGAACTGCAAAGTGGTCCCGGTCCCGGTCCCGGTCCCGGCGGGACCGGGACCGGGACCAAAATTTGACTTTTTTACGGGACCGGGACCGGGACCGGGACTAAAAATTTTTCACATTGGTCCCGGTCAGTTTTTATGCAATATATTTTCATGTTTATTATTTTGACATGATTTAAGATCTGTAAATCAGATATTTTTATATGCTATTTCTATAAAAGTCTTTACTGATTACGAGTCTGTTTGCAAGAATCTGAGTTTTCCAATTGCACAGGTTTTTGAATACATATAAAACAACCAACACAACACTATATGTAAGTTTAATTTGTTCATTTTTTCATGATTCTTTTATTGAAGTCTTATCAGATAATAGTAAATAGATATGTATCGCCGTTTATTTATTTTTTTTTTTGATAATCGTAATGGCTACTCAGTGTAAATAATCAATTCGATAATAGATCCGTTAGGTAGAGCAGTAGATATAAAAGAAGAGAGAAATAGGTAAATGACTGCTACGAAGTATATGAGAATTTTTAACAAAATTCAATGGTTATTTTTATTTATTCGAGCTTTCAGTGAAATTTTTTCGCTTTAACACTGGATATAAAAGAATTTTCGTACTGTTAACGAATCAAAATTATTCATGTCAATTTTATGTATTCATAAAAGTACACAGATCGTAAA